CTCTGAGCTTCTGTGGCTCCGGGAGGGAGGAGAGGTTTGGAAGCCCCGTGAGGAAGGAGTGAAAGAATTGGGAACATCTTCATGGGAGGAAAGCAGATTGGACCCCTGAAAACCTGTCGCGAGTGTCATGAGAGAGGAGCGTGGTCCCTGAGGGTAGAAGTCCTGCGTGGAAATTATAGTAGCCGGCAGGTCATTTTGACTTTCTCTTGGAAGGTCTTGAGCACAAGGACAGCGACCCAGCCGTGGCACGGGCCACCTTGGGAAAGAAAGGACACCTTCTCCTCTATCGGAGGCTGAAAACCTCGGCCACGCAGACAGGACCCCTGGCAGGGAGGTCATGCCTATAAAACTCCATAACCATCAGTTCCGAAAGAACAAAAAGAGAACTCATTTGGTCCACTGCGTTACACGGAAAAAGCAATGTGACCCCCAAAAATTCGACAGCCCTGTGAAACACAGGCAGACGCCACAGGAAAAGACTAGAGGGAAAACCATCAAAGCACAGTGGTTGGATTGGGATTGAGGGTCATGGAGATCGGTATTCTCTGCTTCCCAGGATGGTGATGTTTTTGAAACAAAGGCAGTTTTATTCTCCTATTTTATTATTATTTTTTTTATCCTCCCCCGAGGACATTTTTGCATTTATTTTCAGATAGAACGGGAGGGAGAGAGGGAGGAAGAGAGAGAGAGAAACATCGACGTGAGAGAGACACATCGAGTGGTGGCCACCCACACGACTCCAACGGAGGCCAGGGACAAACCGCAACCGAGGTACATGCCCTTAGCGGGAACTGAACCTGGGACTCTCTGGTCCACGGGCCGACGCTCTAACTGCTGAGCCAAACCAGCCAGGGCAAGGTAGGTTTATTCTTTTTTTTTTTTTATCCTCACCGGAGGACATTTTTCCATTTTTTGTTCAGGTAGAGTGGGAGGGAGGGAGAGGAACAGAGAGAGAGAGAGAGACATCGATGTGAAAGGGACACATCGAGTGGCTGCCACCCGCACAACTGATCAGGGCCGGGGACAAACTGCAACCGAGGTACGTGCCCTTAGCGGGAACCGAACCCGGGTCTCTCTGTACCGCAGGCCGACGCTCTAACCGCTGAGCCAAACCAGCCAGGGCAAGGTAGTTTTATTCTTTATGGAACGGACCTAGTCCAGCCCTCATCCCAGGACAAGGAGCCTCCCGACAACGGCTAACCTCTCTCCTGGTCCCCACCTTCGGAGAGGGTCACCCAGGCCCGACACCAGGGAGCAGGGAGGAAACACATTGCTGGATGCTGGCTGAGTGCCAGACCCAGGGCTGGGGACCAAGCCAGACACAGTCCCTGCCCTCAAGAAGGGGGTGTGGCTGGCACCATATCTCGCTTAGTCTTTGAGACAGCTATGGGGGTGGGTCCTGTGTTATTAGAGCAGTGAGCTGAGCCAGAACCAGGACCCGGGGCTGGGAGTCTTCCCCGCACTTGAAGAAGGTTTCAAGGCAAGCAGTAAGCCACCTATTCAGTCCCATAACTTGATGGAATAAAGGCCAAAGCTCAGCCCGGCCGGTGTGGCTCAGTGGCTGAGCATCGACCCATGCATCAAGAGGTTGCCGGTTCAATTCTCAGCCAGGACACATGCCCAGGTTGTGGGCCCGATCCCCAGTGGGGGGCATGCAGGCAACCAGTCGATGTTCTCTCTCATCGATGCTTCTATCTTTCTCTCCCTCTCCCTTCCTCTCTCAAATCAATAAGAAAAATAAATAAAATTTTAAAAAAGGCCAAGGCGCTCTGGCCGATTTGGCTCAGCGGTTAGAGCATCAGCCCACGGACCAGAGAGGCCCGGGTTCGGTTCCCACTAAGGGCACGTACCTCGGTTGCAGTTTGTCCCCGGCCCTGGTTAGGGTTGTGGGGGTAGCAACCACTCGATGTGTGTCTCTCACGTCGATGTTTCTCTCTCTCTCTTCCTCCCGCTCTGTCTCAAGATAAATGCAAGAAAAGAAAATGTCCTCGGGTGAGGATAAAAAAGTAAAGAAAGAAAGAAATAAGAATAGAAATAAAGAAAGACCAAGGCTCAGACCAGGTTGGCAGCTATTGGACAAAGTCTGGCTGATAAGGAGATGAAGGTTTCCCTGTTTCTGACTATGGCTCTCTCTCTCTCTCTCTCTCTCTCTCTCTCTCACACACACACACACACACACACTAGCCTTCACCCAAGCCCTTCTTCCACTTTATTTCAGGTTCCCCCTTTCCCCTCCTCTGCCTCAGGTACACAGTCCCCTCGCCAGCACCTCACTTTGCTCCCGGGGAGAAAGGCCTCCCTGTTGCCGGGCTGGCAAAGTCTGTGTCCTCACATAAAAGACTGAGTGAGTCCTGGAGACACTTGGAACCCAGACAGAATGGAATTTCTCCCTATTTTCTTTACAGCTAAGAAAACACACACAAACACAAGAGCATATTTATTGCAATATTTCTATCCCAAAGTTTGTCTTGAAAAAAAAAAAAAGATGAAATAAAATTAGTTTTTCTGCCCACTCCACCCCGTCCACCCCAAATCCCCGCCCTTTCCATTCCTGGTCAAGGAGACCAGGGAGAAAAACAGAGCAGGCCCGAGCCCCACAGAGAACCACAGCCCCCTGGACAATGTCGGGCTTGTTCAGAGAGCGAGGGGAGAAACCCAGCTCCGAAAACATACACAAAATGTCCTGGAGAAGGGTGTTTCGAAGAGAAAGGGCAGGCGGGCCTTGGGTCTGGACACGGAATCCCCGGGGCTCGGGGAAGACGGGAGCCCACAAATCTAGCCCCCTCTTCATAGCGGAGATGACACCTTACCCTTTGAGCCACCAAGGAGCACCATGGACCCAAACGGAAGTGCCACAACTCGGTGGCCTCTCACAGGGCCAGAACCTGGAACCCCAGATTTATTTTTAGGGCAGCATCTAAGGAGGACAGTCCTCAAGGAGAAGCAAGGGGCTGCTCCTTAGGCCTTTGAGGTTTTCCAGACTTTCTACGCGGTGAGGAAGACATGCCCCCCACATTCATCTCGCTGGCCCAGCAACACCCACACAGGCAGCCCTTTCATCTCTAGGGTGACGTGTAGATGTGGAATGAATGACGGACTGTGGTGGAATGATCTCTCACAACGACAGACCTGAGTCACCCAAGAGGGTCCCCCAGAGGCCTGGGCCCCCCTCCCCCTCCCCCTTGAATTCCTGGGATGGGAACCTCAGGCTGCATAGGAATCCCTCCCGCCCCAGCGAATAGTGACTGAGCCAACAGCGACACCTACTGGGCCATCAGACTCTTGGGAAGCTTTCCAAATGCCTGAGGACACGGCTGAAGCCCAGGCGGTGTCCATGTGTCACCGCAGTTGAGAACCACTGCTCTGCTTGATCTCTGTGGCTCCTTTGGGCTTTCTTGGGGTGTGCCTGCACCTGTCCACTTGGGGTCGGCGTCTCAATCATGCAACAGATGCCCTTTACATGATGGTTGTCACAGATGTGTGGCATCTGGCAGATGACAATAAGGAAGATTTGGCCCTGGCCGGTTTGGCTCAGCGGTTGGAGCGTCGGCCTGCGGTACAGAGAGACCCGGGTTCGGTTCCCGCTAAGGGCACGTACCTCGGATGCAGTTTGTCCCCGGCCCTGGTTGGTCGTGCGGGTGGCAGCCACTCGATGTGTCCCTTCACATCGATGTTTCTCTCTCTCTCTACCTCTCTCTCCCTCCCGCTCTATCTGAATAAAAAATGGAAAAATGACCTCGGGTGAGGATTAAAAAAAGAGGAAGATTTGTTTTTCTAATTCACATGAAGTCATTGGGCCAGCAGGAGGGGTCGAGGGCTCTCCTTTCTCGACTAATTATTAATCTGCCCATCCCACAGCCTCCTCGGAGCTCTCTCGGTGGGCGTCCTTCCCCTGACCGAGCCTGGCCCATGAATCTTGCCCCAACCTTGGAGCATTCTTCATTCTAAAACATGAGATTCCCAGATTTGAAGTTGGTGGCAGGTCTGGACCTTACCAGGGAGGTTGGCTGACTCATGTCACTTCTCTGGGCCTGAGCGTTCTCCAGAAAGACCAAACCAGTCGGATGTGTGCATATATAGACCGAAAGAGATGTGTTAATGGAATTGTTTCACATGATTGTGGAGGTATTCAGCAAGCAGAGACCCAGGAGAGTCAGGGTGCAGATCCAGGCTCAAGATTCAGGAACAGCCCATGTTTCTGTTCAAGTCCAAAGGCAGTTGGAAGGTCATCGGGCAAGAGGAGTTATCTTTTATTTGGGGAGGTTCAGCCCTTTGGTTTTATTCAGAACGTCAACTGATTGGACGAGGCCCACCCACACTAGCAGGGCAATCTGCTTTACTCAGGCTACTGATTTTCGTTAATCTCATCCAAAGACACCCAGCCAGACACACCTAGAATAATGGTGGACCAAATATCTGAGCACCCCCTGGCCCAGTCAGGTTCTGAGAAAATCAACCATCATAGGGTCCTTTAAGACGGAGCCTTTGCTGGTTGGAAGATGGGGTGTTCCCTAGAAAAGCTAGGGTCATGTTTTCAGCCCAGCCCCTGTCATTAAAGCAGGACATTTGTGAAGGTTTTCTGAGGAGAAGTTTCTTGGAAAAGATATCTCTTGGGCCCTGGCCGGTTTGGCTCAGCGGTTAGAGCGTCGGCCTGCGGTCCAGAGAGACCCGGGTTCGGTTCCCGCTAAGGGCACGTACCTCGGTTGCAGTTTGTCCCCGGCCCTGGTCGGTCGTGCGGGTGGCAGCCACTTGATGTGTTCCTTTCACACTGATGTTTCTCTCTCTCTCTCTTCCTCTCTCTCCCTCCCACTCTACCTGAACAAAAAATGGAAAAATGTCCTCGGGTGAGGATAAAAAAAAAAAAAGAAAAAAAAAAAAAAAGATATCTCTTGGGCATGAAGTTTGTCATCGTGTGTCATATGACACGTCACCCACCTAGACCTCACTGCGTCTGAACCCCCCAGTAACACCTTTTCTTCCTCCCTTCTTCCAGGTGAACTATGACCACTTTACTCTTGGTGTTTGTGACTCTGAGGGTCATTGCTGCAGCCTTCTCAGTAGAAGTATCAGGTGAGTACATTCCCACGCGTGTCTCATTAACCCAACAGGCACCGAGGACTGGATGCTGGGCTCTGGGCACTGAACCTGGCGCTGCTAGACCCAGGGATAGAATCTCCCTTTCCCTGGCCTTTTTCCGGCCCTCCCCCTTTTCTATGGAAGGTCAGCCTTCCGGTAGTGATGGAGCACCTGTGCATTTGAGCACACACGTGTGCGTCCAGGTGCCCTCCAGCATGGACAGCTGAGGGGGAGCTCCAGGCAGGTGCCCACCTTCCCAGGATCCTCTTCATGGATGTCACCTAGACCTGCTGCACACTGAGCTTGGGGTTGGGGCAGGACAGAGATAAGCCCAAAGAGAAAAAGCTGCTGGAGCATCAGAGAAAATTGAGAGAAGCCCCAACTGATCACACGGCTATTTGTCTTTCTTAGCAAACCATCCTCGGGAAGTCCCCAGCCTGGTCTTTTGCATGTGGCAGGCACCAGGTAGATTTCTGATCATCAAGCCCTGCGCCAGATGAACAGGATGGGCTCGCCCCAAAGTGGGCTGTTTCTCACTAAGACCCAGGAAGGCCCCTACTCTGGGCCATGCACTTTATTTTTTTTATTTATTTATTTTTTTAATCCTCATCTGAGGACATTTTTCCATTTTTTGTACAGACAGGGTGGGAGGGAGAGAGAGGAAGAGAGAGAGAGGGAAATATCAATGTGAAAGGGACACATCGAGTGGCTGCCACCCGCACGACCAACCAGGGCCGGGGACAAACTGCAACCGAGGTACGTGCCCTTAGCGGGAACCGAACCCGGGTCTCTCCGGACCGCAGGCGGACGCTCCAACCGCTGAGCCAAACCGGCCAGGGCTGGGCCATGCACTTTAGATTCCTCCCCACATCCCCTTCCCATGATCCTTCTCCAACCCCAATGCTCCCTAAAGGATGAGGAGTCTGCAGGGCCAATGAGACAACCATCCAGATCAATGTACCCCCTTTAGACCACACTCTGGGTACCCAGGATGCCCTGAATTCCCTGCCCGGGTGGACCCAAGCCACTTCCAGGCCCACATGGGTCTCTCCTCTCGGTCCGTCCACTATGGGGGATCATGCTTCTGGTGTGGGCCACCCCTAGGCTCGAGGGAGAGGCTAAGCAGTGGCTGTTTGTGTAGGGTGTAGACAGAGCTGAGATGAACACAGTCCCCTCACAGTACAAAGCAATAGTGGAAAAGAAGGGGCCCGGCTCCCCCTCCCCCAACCTTGATGCCAAACTCTGAGGACTCCAAGAATTCTACCTTCGAATCTGGCTTTTCCTTTTGAAAGGTATCTTTGTCAAATAGGAAGACAGAACGTATTTTATGTAACAACCTGTCAGCTTGACTTATAACTCTTAAATATTTAGACACAGGGCACCTGGCATTCCTGGGTCCTCTTGCCTGGGACCCAGCCCCCCGCTGTAACCTGCTGTGGTTTCCCAGCCAGGCACATCGGTTCACTCGGGTTGGTTGAGAGCTTCCCAAACGGCAGAGCTGGGCACTGTCACCACTTTAAGCTCTTCCCGGAGGACCACCACCTCTAAACCCACGCTGTGTTGTGGGGCATTGAAAGGGAGATTTTTGTGGAAGGGCCTGGTGGTAACTGCCCAGGACATCAAAAGGTTAGGGCTGGACCCCAAACATTCTTGCCCCCCCGCCTCGTTCCTTGCCCTGTTATGTACCTATCACCCACAAATATCTGAAACATTTTTATGTTCAACCCGTAGCCTGTCCTGGAAAAAGGGTCCCCTAAGCATATGACTCGCCAGTGAAAGGTGCCATTTTTTTCTAAGGCGGTTTCTTTCCCGTTCCGGGAAGACCTTTGGTGAAGTCCTGCATCTTTCCTATGAACACTCTCTATGATTTGTTTATTGATTTTAGAGAGAGGAAGGGAGAGGGAGAGAATCGGCCGCCTCCTGCCCGCCCCCTACTGGGGATCGAGCGTGCAACCCAGACATGTGCCCTGACCAGGAATCGAACCAGCGAGCCAACAGCCACACCCACCAGGGCTCTGTGATGTTATGGAGTCCAGTCATATCCCACCCCCACCCCGTCTGACTCTTTGCAGATTTAAATGTCTGATCTTCTCTGGTGCTTCTCCAATTAGACCCCTGATTCCCCAATAGCAGAAGAGAATGACATCCTCCAGCAACGCCAGGACGAAGCTCAATGCTGACCTCATTCCAGGGGGCACATCTCTGGAGTTTTGTCTCTCGGCTTTAAAAATTTTGCGGATTTTTTTTGGTCTTCTCCATAATAATTTGTCTACCCCCAAATACTGTTCCCCTAAGTCTTGGAGTCAAGCTGTCAGTCCAAAAAGATGGATTCTGTTTATCTGATGGCTTGGCACCCCTTGGGGCACCTTAGTGTGAGAAGCAGAGAGACTGTCTCGACTCTGAAGTACCCCCCGCTTCCCCTTGACGACCCTTTTCTGGTTCCATAGTTCCCGACTTGAGGTGTAGACACCAGGGGTCTGGAGGAATACTGCTCTGGAAAGGGTGTTGCAAGGACTTCTGGGAATTCCATATGGTTCAGGAGTGTCCCCAACACAGACACACAGGCTCATTGGATTCTGCTGGGGAGGCTGGGGAGTCCTCTCTGGGCACTAACAGGTCTGTCTCTCCCACAGACCCTGACAACTCATTGAGTGTCAGCATCCCTGAACCGTCCCCACTGCGGGTCCTCCTGGGGACCTCCCTCACCATCCCCTGCTATTTCATCGACCCCATGCACCCCGTGACCACCGCCCCCTCCACTGCCCCCCTCACCCCGAGAATCAAGTGGAGCCACATTTCCAAGGAGAAGGAGGTGGTACTGCTGGTGGCCACGGAAGGGCAGGTGCGGGTCAACAGTGCCTACCAGGACAAGGTCTCGCTGCCCAACTACCCAGCCATTCCCAGTGACGCCACCTTGGAAATTCTAAACCTGCGCTCCAATGACTCTGGGATCTACCGCTGTGAAGTGATACATGGCATCGAGGACAGCGAGGCCACCCTGGAGGTCGTGGTGAAAGGTGAGAGCCAGCCACCCACCCAGGGATCCTGGTTCACCTGCAGAAAGAACCAATAGTATCCTCCCCGGGTGGACCCAGACAGGCTGACTTTCAAATCCCAGCTCCTCCCCACCTCGGTCAACTTTCCCAGCTTCAGTTGTAACAAAGAGCTGGTCGTATTCTTTCTGGACTTTGAGGGGATTAACTACTTCCTGGCCGCAGTCACATGGGAGTAACAATTGGTGCTTTGCCACGATCCTGTGACTCCGTGGGCTGTGGGATTGTCCCCATTGTACAGGCAGGCTAACTGAGGTTGAATGACTTGCTTGGTTTCCCTGGACGTGAACCAGAGCAGCCTCCTGGCTCTTCATCCAGGTGTCCTTTCCCTCCCCCACCTCCCCCCGCCCTCATTCTCGGTTCTAGAAGCCAAAGAAAGGATGAAGATGCCCTGATGCCCTTTTTGTCCACGGCCCAAGGAGCATGCTTGTGTCCTTGGTCGGCTTCAGGACTTTGGTCAGCACCAGATTTCACCTGCTGGGAGACCTGTCAGAGATGGCCCACTCCTGGGGGTGCTACAAACAGGTTCCCACCAGGATTTCCCCGGGCTTAGGGTACCTCGGCTCTAAGCATCTCTTTCCCCAAAGCAAATGTGGGGTCCTGGAGTGACAAGAAAAAATTATAAGAAGGCAGCGTTTCGTTCCATGTAAAGAACTTTCCGATTATCAGAATTACCTGAGGTATTCAAAAAAGATGCCTTGTGAGGTAGTGAGTTCCCCATGGCAGGAGGTGTTCCAGCAAAGGCAGAAAGACCACACGCACGTGTGGGAAGGAGATTCACACATCCGCTAGAGGCCTGGACCAGCTGATTGTAAGGTCCCTTGGACTACGGCCGTAATTCTGTGAGGCCCTCGGTGATGGGCCGCTGTGTCTGACCTGCTCTCCGGCCTGCACATGTCTTGCAGGCATTGTGTTCCATTACAGAGCCATTTCCACGCGCTACACCCTGGACTTTGACAGGGCGCAGCGGGCCTGCCTGCAGAACAGCGCCATCATCGCCACGCCCGAGCAACTGCAGGCCGCCTATGAGGACGGTTTCCACCAGTGTGATGCTGGCTGGCTGGCCGACCAGACTGTCAGGTGAGCTCCCAGGCCACCAGCCGAGTGGGGTGGACAGTGGGCTGGCATGTCGCTGTGGCTAGCCTGGGTTGGGGCTGGAGGGATGTCTTGGCCAATGCAGCGTCAGGCACCCGATGAGCAGTCCCAGGCCCTCGTTATTTATCTTGCGGAGGAGGGAGTGGCCGCGAGCAGCTTCGCCCTATAGGAGCGTTCTGTCCATGCAAATTACATGCACGTCGTCATTCTTCCAAAAATCAAAACATTTACTCTCTGGCCATTTACAGAAAAGGTTTGCAAGTCCCTGACAGAACATGTTTGATGTCGATACACATTCAGTAAAGGAGCTGCCTTTAATCACCCATAGCTATGAAAAGACATATATTTCAGTGAAACTGGAGGAAAACTTGTAAAAACAAATAGTCCACACATTCAGGGCGGACACTGGCCAACGCATCGATAAGTCACTGCTTCCTCCCACAGGGGAGGAGGATACAAAGGCATAGGCCCCTTCTGGCCCCTAGTGAAACACCCTACTTCCGGTTCCTGGCAGGTACCCCATCCACGTTCCCCGGGAAGGCTGCTATGGAGACAAGGATGAGTTTCCCGGCGTGAGAACCTACGGCATCCGCGACACCAATGAAACCTATGACGTGTACTGCTTCGCCGAGGAGATGGAGGGTGAGGCCACCCTGCTCTCTTCCCAGGAACCCCCTTTTCTGTCCCCTTCACCCTACTGACACTTGGGCTCCGGGGCACGGTGCTAATCCAGGGCACCATCACTCAGCTCCCTCTACCATGCCTGGAGAGGGTGGAGGAGAGAGGAGGGGGGAGGGGAGAGCAGGGTTCTCAGGCCTCAGTGGCTCCAGGCTCCTACAAACTGGTGTCACCACGGAGCTGAAGAGTGTTTGCGGCTGGTCCCTCACCTGGAACTGCCCCTCCCAGCCAGGACCTGCTCTGACCTGCCATCATTGTCCCAAGTTAGAATGTGCTCAAGACCTGGAGGCCCCTCAGGGACCTCCCTGGGGGCAGGGGGCAGGGGGTAGGAGGGAGAACCTCACCCTGCCTTCTGTGTCCTTCACAGGCGAGGTCTTCTATTCGACGTCTCCGGAGAAATTCACCTTCCAGGAGGCTGCCAATGAGTGCCGGCGGCTGGGCGCCCGGCTGGCCACCACGGGCCAGCTATACCTGGCCTGGCAGGGCGGCATGGACATGTGCAGCGCCGGCTGGCTGGCCGACCGCAGTGTGCGCTACCCCATCTCCAAGGCCCGGCCCAACTGCGGGGGCAACCTCCTGGGCGTTAGAACTGTCTACCTGCACGCCAACCAGACGGGCTACCCCGACCCCTCATCCCGCTACGACGCCATCTGCTACACAGGTGCGGCTGGGGCTGGAGGCTGGCAGGGGACCACACCAGCAAAATTGGGGCCCGGAGGAAGAGGTCTGGGAATGGGGGCTGTTTTTTACCCCATCAAGGGGCCACTGGGTACCTGAACCCCATATTTTAGCACCACCTGTTTTTATTGGTTCCTAGGAGAGCTAATATACAGTGGCTGGAGGCTGCAGGGTATCCAGCCTTGTCTCATGAGCCCAGAATGGGTTAAAAGCATGAGCTTTAGAGTCTGTGTTTCCTCCGGTTTGAATCTCAGCTCTGCCACCTGCTACTGTGCAACCGTGGGAGAGCCAAGGCCTTGAGCCTCAGTTTCCTCATCCATCTAATGGGTAGATGGTGGCACCACATGGAAGATGGTGGGGCCTGACACGAGACCATGTCCCCACAGGGGGCACTGTTATCTGCCATTGAAAAGGGGATTCACTCAACGTGTTACTGAAAAGATTGGGATAGGGGTCCAGTGTCACCTCAATAAATTCAGTAAAAAGGAAACAAATAAATGGATCATGTCAAAAAAGAAAAGAAAAGAGCAGGGAAAAGTTTGGACAGGGGCTTTGTTTTGAAAATTTAGACTAAAAGTTTTTTTTTAATCTTATCTGTTACGCAGTCCAGGTAGTAATTACAATTGAATGCTAATTCTTGGAGGGACAAAAAACAGTGGATGATACAGAGGTGCATCAATATTATGAAAACATTGTAGGTCATTTCATGTTGACTTCCACAGCCTGATCTTTCATGACACGGATTATTTTTGCAAAAATAATTAGGGTTCCACCCTGGCTGGTTTGGTGTTTGGCTCAGCAGTAGAGTGTCGGCCCTAGGGCCAAAGAGTCACGGGTTCGATTCCAGTCAAGGGCACGTACCTCGGTTGTGGTTCGGTCCCCAGCCCTGGTCGGAGTCATGCGGGAGGCAACCAGTCGATGTGTCCCTCTTATGTCGATTTCCCACACACACACACTTTATCTGAAGATAAAAATAGAGAAAAGTATCCTCGGATGAGGATTAAAAAAAATAAAGTTAGGGTTCCCCCCAAAACCTCTCTGGAACTTTCAATATCCTTACCACCCTCTCAAAGTCATTGCACCCTCATGGGTGTGCTCCCTTCATTCAACTGGCTCATTTCTGCCAGACCCTCAGATTGTCATGAGTCGTCCTCTCGTGTTTCATCCATTCCGTGAGCACCTGCGTTTTCGGCGAGAGTTTTCCGTTTCCCTCTCTGACAGTTTCACAGTGCCCCATTGGCTGGTCAGGAAGGTGCTCAGAAGGTATGTAAGGAGGCGGCTGTGTGGACCAGGAAGAGATGCTGGAGCTGGACACACTTTATAAGCAGTGAGATGATTGGTCCATGTCTTGTGCTATGATAATTGTATGTTCTTTAGCAATCTGGAAACTGCGGGGTCTCCTATAATGAATATCCACAAGGACCCCAAAATGGGCCCAGCAAGGTGCCGAGCACACAGTGCTTCCCTGGCGGAGAAGGAGGCGCAGCCGATGCTCACCTCCCTCCTGTCTGCAACGATGAGGAGGAGCTAACGCTGAGCTTTGTCCCTGACCCAGGTGAAGACTTTGTGGATATCCCAGAAAACTTCTTCGGGGTGGATAATGAGGAGGACATCACCGTCCAGACAGTGACCTGGCCGGCGGTGGAGCTGCCCTTGCCCCAGAACATCACCGAGGGCGAAGCGCGGGGCAACGTGATCCTCACCGTGAAGCCCATCTTTGGGGGCTCCCCCACTGCCCTGGAGCCCGAGGAGCCCTTTACGCGGGCCCCTGACATAGAGGCCACCGCCTTCCCGGAGGCTGAGAACAGGACGGGAGAGGCCACCAGGCCCTGGGCCTTTCCCGAGGAGTCCACGTCTGGCCAGGGCCCCTTCACCAGCGAGGACCTGGTCGTGCAGGTGACCGCAGCCCCAGGTGAAGCCGAGGTCCCCGGGCAGCCACGATTGGCCGGGGGTAAGTGCCTACTGCTTGGGGGCTGCAGGGGAATAGAGGCAATGAACTTGGCCTGGTGGGGAAGGTCTATGCCTTCGACTTAACCTGGGACCTGGGATTGGCCTCTCTCCTCTCAGATTCCGTTCTCCTTATCTGTGAGACGAAGGGATGGGCCGGGCCAGTGGTATCCATACTCTTTTGCCACAGAGCATCTCTTTTCAAATGAAGCCATAGGTGGGACCAGTGTATATATCAGGCAGGTCAAGGTGCCCATGCGGTCTAGGTGAAGTGGAGTGGAAAACTGGGGCTCTTCTGCCCAGAGCCCTCCTTGCCCCATCAGGCACCTCCACAGATTAGAACCACTGAAAACGGCCACACGGGGTGACCCTCCACGACAGGGGTCTGCAAACTGCAGCTCACAGGCCAGAGTCAGCTTGCCGCCTGTTTTTGTACAGTTCGTCAACCAAGAACGGGATTACATTTTTAAATGGCTGGCGGGGCCCTGGCCGGTTTGGCTCAGCGGTTAGAGCGTCCCCTGCGGTCCAGGGAGACCCAGGTTCGGTTCCCGCTAAGGGCATGTACCTTGGTTGCAGTTTGTCCCCGGCCCTGGTTGGTCGTGCGGGTGGCAGCCACTCGATGTGTCCCTTTCACATCGATGTTTCCCTCTCTCTCTCTCTTCCTCTCTCTCCCTCCCACTCTGTCTGTACAAAAAATGGAAAAATGTCCTCGAATGAGGATTAAAAAATAATAATAATAAAAAAATAAATGGCTGGCGGGGGCAGGGTGTCATAAGAAGAAGAATATTTTGTGACATGTAATAAAAACTAAATAAAGTTCAAATTGCAGTGTCCCCATTGGCTAGGAAAAGGGTGGGAAGGAGGGAAGCCAGGGCTCTCTGTGCACACCCACAAAGCCTTGAGCACTGGGCTTGAGAACCTGAGCCTGCTCCGTCTCTCCTCCTCTCCCTCTCCTCCCCACCCAGGGGTCGTGTTCCACTACCGCCCTGGCTCCGCCCGGTACGCGCTGACCTTCGAGGAGGCGCGGCGGGCCTGCCTGCGCACCGGGGCGGTGATCGCCTCGCCGGAGCAGCTCCAGGCAGCCTATGAAGCAGGCTACGAGCAGTGTGACGCCGGCTGGCTGCAGGACCAGACCGTCAGGTGAAGGACCAGCTGGGCTCCCCTCTCAGCCCAAACCCAGCCAGGAGAGGTCAGGCTAGGGGAACCACAGCCTGGCCCTACACCCAGAACAGAGCGGGCACCTGCGACACTGCAGGTTGCTTCCTTCCCCAGAACCAAAGCATATTCAGAGAGGGTGAGGAAGGGCCCCAGGTAACATTAGATCCTAGGTCAGTTCCCCCATCCTCAAGGCCCCCAGTCCCTTCCAGTTTGACCCAGTGCTGTTCCAGGCAGTAATTCCCCCAGGGGCCCCCAGACCTTGCACCCCGGATGAGGGGCTTCTTCCTGGTTTAAATCCACCTGGGCAACTAAAGACCCTCTCTGCCCGAGTCCCCCAGTGGTCTACCAGCCTCACCCAGCATCCCCCTGAACAAGCCCTCATTTTCCCCTCCCACCCTGCTTGCAGATACCCCATTGTGAGCCCGAGGACCCCGTGTGTGGGTGACAAGGACAGCAGCCCGGGAGTCAGGACCTATGGTGTGCGCCCACCATCAGAAACCTTTGATGTCTACTGCTACGTGGACAGACTCGAAGGTACAGGTCCTTTTCTCAGATTTTGAGCCTCAGATGGGTGGGGGCTGTTGGGGAGACACAAAAAGGGGGGGATCCACATCCACCCCACCCCCACATTTATCTATGGATAAATAAATCTATTTTTTAAATATCCACCATCTGCTTCATGGAGAGTCCCAATGCTCAGGAACAAATCAAAGGCTCTGAGAAGTCCTGCAATAAAAACAAACAACAATGAAAAAAAACCTCTTTAACTCTGCTTAATCCAACCTTGCCCAAGCTTATTTAACCACAGATTCTTTCCTTTTGTTTCATGTTATTTATTTTCATTTCAATTAAAATCACCAAATTACTATTCCACTGAACCCCATTTTGAAAATGCTGGCATTCTAGAAGGATTTCAGCACTGCCACTCACTTGTCCCAGGAGCTGAGTAAGTTAGTTAACCACTCTAGGCCTAAGTTTCCTCATCTATGAAATGGCCGATTTATGCTCAGATCGGAGGCTTTTTTGAGTACTAAGTGAGATGTGTATGAAGAGTGCCTGGCACAGTAGGTATTTCGTGAATGTGAACTTCCTTCCCTCAAATCAGACAGGGCCCCCAGGTACAGTTCTGGGTGCTGGGGCCCAACCCCCAACACAGGACCTGGCTGCTGCACTGGATGAGTTCACGGGGCGGGTGGGCACGGGCTCATGGCATTCACAGTGCTTGCTGCCAAGTGCTGTAGTGTTGGGGAGCACAGCGGGGTGGGAGGGGGGTCCTATCTGAGCAGGGAAAGGCGGTGCCTGAGGGTGCCTAGAGAAATTAGAAAGACGCCAAGGAGGGAATGTAAGTGACCCACACCCTCAGTTTGGCTGCAACTTAGCTGGTTTCAGCACTAAAAGTCCCAACTCCGGGGACACCCCAGTTGGTCACCTATTTCCCAGTGTCCCAGGAGATCTAAGGAGGAGTGGTCAAAGAGAGGCATGTTTGGGCTGGGCAGGGTCTTTAATCTATGCCTGTCATGGCAGGTGTCCCCCCTGCTGGGAGGTGGCAGCCCTGCCCCGTGTGAGCGGGGGCCGCCCTGGCCATGGATGTGAAGGGTGACCCCTGCTGCCTGCCTCTGCCCCCAGGGGAGGTGTTCTTCGTCACACGTCCGGAGCAGTTTACCTTCCAGGAAGCCCTGGAGTTCTGTGCGTCCAACAATGCCACGCTGGCCTCCACGGGCCAGCTCTACGCTGCCTGGAGCCTCGGCCTGGACAAGTGCTACGCCGGCTGGCTGGCCGACGGCAGCCTCCGCTACCCGATAGTCACCCCTCGGCCGGCCTGTGGCGGGGACAAGCCAGGCGTGAGGACCGTCTACCTCTACCCCAACCAGACAGGCCTCTTGGACCCACTGTCCCGGCACCATGCCTTCTGCTTCCGAGGTATGTGTCTTCACCTCTCCTCCAGCCCCCACTTCTGCCTGGGGGGGGGGGGTGACTCCCCAGGGCTGACCCCTCCTGGCCCCTGTCCACTCTCCCTGACCATCAGAACAAGGAGGAAAAAGTCAGTCTCTCTGAGTCAGGGACAGCTCTGGAGCTAGCGTGACCTTGGGCTTTGACCCCAAGGCAAATGTATCTTTGTAAGGTTTCCCAGAGACAAGTAGAAAGAAGTAAGTAAGAGCCTGGCCTCTAGACTCAGGCGGACCTGAATTTTAATGATGACTCTGCTGTTTAGTAGCTGTGTGACCCTGGGAAAGTCACTTGACCCCTCAGTTCCTCTGCTTCATCTATAAAATTGTGATACAGCTGCTGTCAGGATTAATGGAAATCGTGCACAGCAAATGCTTGGCAAAGTGCGTGGGACATAGTAAATGCTCAATAAATGTGAGCTTTATTTTCAGAAATAATGTGTACGTCTTTATCAAATTCTGTCCTGCTTGTAAATATGTTTTGTGATGACTCTGTCAGATTGTTCCATGATTCTCATCTGAACATCAGCAATTCATGCTTTTAATTGACCCATGCTGCTGGGTACACACCGCTGCCTTGTCACTAACTTTACCCGATAGAGTTCTGAGGGTGATGTCATCAAACAACTGAGTAGGCGTGGCCAGGTGGTATCCACGACAATGCTGGGCTCTGATTGGATGAGTTCTTACAGGGTCCTTAGGTCTAGGAGCACTGACCAGAATACAGATTGTAATAACAGCTTGTGAGCCCGGCTGGTGTGGCTCAGTGGATTGAGCATCCGTCCCATGGACTGAGAAGTCCTGATTCAATTCCTGGTCAGAACACATACCCAGGCTGCAGGCTCCATCCCCAGTAGGGGGCATGCAGGAGGCAGCCAATCGATGTTTCTCTCTCACATCAATGTTTCTCTCTCTCTCTTCCTCTCTCGCTAAAAAATCAATAAAAACATATTTTTTAAAAGTAATAATAATAAATAACAGCTTATGTCATGATAGACATCATTTTATATAAGATTGTGTATACATTTTACACATTATGCATCAAAACCAAGGGTCTCTGTAACTTCCTGTGAATCTATCATTATTTCAAAATAAAGTTAATGAAAAAAAATACCTGAGTGTCCCCAAGTTTCCCAGACTCCCAGGGTCACCTTTTCAAACCCAATTCAAAGAAAGTTCCGCCCTACCGCACCAGGCTCAAGAATAGAGAGCTGGGTGGGTCAGTGGTAAGAAGGAATCCTCACCACCCACGTCCCCTTTAGGTGTCTCAGCTGTGCCCTCTCCAGGAGAAGATGTGGGTCGCACACCCACACCACCCTGGGATGTGGAGGACTGGATCACCACCCAGGTGGGACCTCACGTGGCTGCTGTCCCCTCGGGGGAAGAGACAACTGCAATCCCAGGTTTCACCATTGAGCCAGAAAACCAAACGGAATGGGAACCAGCCTACACCCCAGCGGGCACCTTCCCACTGCCAGGTCTGTGTGGCCTTCCCTGACTCAGGGGGCTGGCTTTTGATGAATGATTCTCACACTCCAGCAAGCATCAACATCATGGGAGGGCTTAGCTCACCCCAGAGTCTGATTCAGTGGGGCTGGGGTGGGGTCTGAGAATTTGCTTTTCTATCACGCTGTCAGGTGATGCTGGTGCTACTGGTCCATGGACCACACTTTGAGAACCATAGGTTTAAATAAGATGAGGAAGTATTCGAAGGGTGACCTTGATGGCCTTCAGTGATAGCCAGGCCCCCACACCCAGTGGGTTGTGTGAATGGCACCCCCTAAAGTCTCACCAAGCACAGCCTAAGGGTGCTAGGGAGTTTCTTGGTCTTGTCCCTCCCCCCCTCTTTGATTCCCTCCCCTCCCTTCTTCCCTTATTTCTCCTTTCTTTCTAGAGATACTGTGCAAGGTTCCATTAGAAAATGTCTGAACACATCTCTGAGCTCACTGGGAAAGGAATGGAACTCAGCTTCTCTGCATGAGCTGAAAATGGGGCAGTTACTAAATCCCCACCTTGTCTTTCTCCCTCCAGGGGTCCCCTCTGCATGGCCTCCCGCTAGCACAGCAACGGAGGAGAGCCCAGAAGGCCCTTCTGCAACAGAAGTGCCCTTGGCCTCCGAGGAGCCAACCCTCCCTGAGGAGCCATCGCCCTCCCAGGAGCCGTTCACACCTCCACCCCCAGTGCCCAGTGGGATGGAGCTGCCAGGCTCTGGGGAGGCATCCGGGGTACCCGAAGTCAGTGGTGACTTCACAGGCAGTGGAGAAGCCTCGGGACACCTAGACTTCAGTGGTGTCACCTCTACAGTGGGCTCAGGCCTGCCTGTAGGAAGCGGACTGGCCTCGGGGGATGAAGATGGAATTACGTGGACCGGCACTTCTACAGTTGGTGGGCAGCCCTCTGGTGGTGAGGGCCTAGAAGGCTCTGCTTCTGGAGTAGGGGACCTCAGTGGACTTCCTTCTGGGGGAGAAGGTCATCTGGAAACCTCTACCTCTGGAGTAGGGGACCTCAGTGGACTTCCTTCTGGGGGAGAAGGTCATCTGGAAACCTCTACCTCTGGAGTAGGGGACCTCAGTGGACTTCCTTCTGGGGGAGAAGGTCATCTGGAAACCTCTACCTCTGGAGTAGGGGACCTCAGTGGACTTCCTTCTGGTGGAGAGGTTCATCTGGAAACCTCTACCTCTAGAGTAGAGGACCTCAGTGGACTTCCTTCTGGTGGAGAGGGTCATCTGGAAACCTCTACCTCTGGAGTAGGGGACCTCAGTGGACTTCCTTCTGGTGGAGAAGGTCATCTGGAAACCTCTACCTCTGGAGTTGAGGACCTCAGTGGACTTCCTTCTAGTGGAGAAGGTCATCTGGAAACCTCTACCTCTGGAGTTGAGGACCTCAGTGGACTTCCTTCTGGTGGAGAGGGTCATCTGGAAACCTCTACCTCTGGAGTTGAGGACCTCAGTGGACTTCCTTCTGGTGGAGAGGGTCATCTGGAAACCTCTACCTCTGGAGTAGGGGACCTCAGTGGACTTCCTTCTGGTGGAGAGGGTCATCTGGAAACCTCTACCTCTGGAGTAGAGGACCTCAGTGGACTTCCTTCTGGGGGAGAGGGTCATCTGGAAACCTCTACCTCTGGAGTAGAGGACCTCAGTGGACTTCCTTCTGGTGGAGAAGGTCACCTGGAAACCTCTACCTCTGGAGTTGAGGACCTCAGTGGACTTCCTTCTAGTGGAGAGGGTCATCTGGAAACCTCTACCTCTGGAGTAGAGGACCTCAGTGGACTTCCTTCTGGGGGAGAAGGTCATCTGGAAACCTCTACCTCTGGAGTAGAGGACCTCAGTGGACTTCCTTCTGGGGGAGAAGGTCATCTGGAAACCTCTACCTCTGGAGTTGAGGACCTCAGTGGACTTCCTTCTGGGGGAGAAGGTCATCTGGAAACCTCTACCTCTGGAGTAGAGGACCTCAGTGGACTTCCTTCTGGGGGAGAAGGTCATCTAGAGACTCATGCCTCTGGAGTAGAGGACCTCAGTGGACTTCCTTCTGGGGGAGAAGGTCATCTAGAGACTCATGCCTCTGGAGTAGAGGACCTCAGTGGACTTCCTTCTGGGGGAGAAGGTCATCTAGAGACTCATGCCTCTGGAGTAGAGGACCTCAGTGGACTTCCTTCTGGAGGTGAGAGTCATCTTGAGACCTCGGCTTCTGGAGTAGAGGACCTTAGTGAACTTCCGTCTGGAGGAGAAGGTCTAGAGACCTCTGCTTCTGAAGTAGGGGATGACCTCAGTGGACTTCCTTCTGGAAGGGAGGGTCTAGAGACCTCTATTTCTGGAGCTGAAGACCTCAGTGGGTTGCCTTCTGGAAAAGAAGACACGATCGGGTCAGCTTCTGGAGCCTTGGACTTTGGCCGAATACCTTCTGGAACTCCAGGAAGTGGCCAAGCTCCAGAAGCCAGTGGGCTCCCCTCTGGATTTAGTGGTGAGTATTCTGGAATGGACCTTGGAAGTGGCCCATCCTCTGGCTTGCCTGACTTTAGTGGACTTCCATCTGGGTTCCCAACTGTCTCCCTAGTGGATACAACATTGGTAGAAGTGGTCACAGCCACCACTGCAAGTGAACTGGAAGGGAGGGGAACCATTGGCATTAGTGGTGCTGGAGAAATATCTGGGCTGCCCTTCGGCGAGTTGGACATTAGTGGGGGAGCTAGTGGACTCCCTTCAGGAGTTGAGCTCAGTGGCCAGCCATCTGGATCTCCTGAAATCAGCGGGGAAACATCTGGATTATTTGGTGCCAGTGGCCAACCATCCGGATTTCCTGATATCAGTGGGGCAACATCTGGGCTCTTTGAGTTCAGTGGACAGCCATCAGAGTTTCCAGGGCAAACATCTGGAACGACTGAGCTTAGTGGACAGTCCTCTGGACTACCAGATGTCAGTGGAGAAGCTTCTGGGGACCTTTTTGGCAGTGGTCCACCATTTGGCATAACCGACCTTAGTGGAGAAACATCTGGGGTCCCCGATCTCAGTGGGCAGCCATCGGGGTTGCCAGGGTTCAGCGGGGCCACATCAGGAATTCCTGACCTGGGGTCTAGTGCCATGAGCGGCAGTGGTGAATCTTCTGGCATTACATTTGTGGACGCCACTTTTGTTGAAGTGACCCCAACCACATTTAAAGAAGAAGAAGGTTTAGGGTCTGTGGAACTCAGCGGCCTCCCTTCTGGCGAGACCGATCTCTCAGGCACATCTGGGGCAGTGGATGTCAGTGGACAGTCTTCTGGAGACATCGACTCCAGTGGGTTTACATCCCAGCCTCCAGAATTCAGTGGCCTACCAAGCGGAGTAGCCGAGGTCAGTGGCGAAGTCTCTGGAGCTGAGCTGGGGAGCAGCCTGTCCTCGGGAGCATATGACGGCAGCGGGCTTCCATCGGGTTTCCCCACCGTCTCTCTTGTGGACAGAACTTTGGTGGAATCTGTAACCCAGCCTCCAACAGTCCAAGAAGCAGGAGAAGGGCCCTCGGGCATTTTGGAACTCAGCGGTGCCCTTTCTGGAGCCCCAGACGTGTCTGGAGATCATTCGGGATTTTTGGACCTCAGCGGGCTGCAGTCCGGGCTGGTCGAGCCCAGCGGAGAGCCATCAGGTACTCCGTATTTTAGTGGGGACTTTTCTGGCACCATTGGTGTGAGTGGAGAGTCCTCTACAGCCACGAGCACCAGTGGGGAGGCCTCAGGACTTCCAGAAGTTACCTTAATCACTTCTGAATTTGTGGAGGGTGTGACTGAACCAACTGTTTCCCAAGAACTTGGCCAGAGACCCCCTTTGATACACACCCCCCAGATTTTTGAGTCCAGTGGGGAAGTATCTACATCGGGGGACACCAGTGGAGCTACACCAAGGTTCTCTGGGTCTGGGGTAGAAGCGTCATCAATCCCAGAATCCAGCAGCGAAACATCCGCCTATCCTGAGGCTGGGGTGGGGGCGTCTGCTGCTCCTGAGGCCAGCGGAGGAACTTCGGGGTCCCCTGACCTGAGCGAAACCACCTCTGCCTTCCCTGAAGCTGACCTGGAGGGAGCCTCAGGCCTGGGAATGAGCGGCAGCACCCCAGCCTTCCAGGAAGGACCCACGGAGGGCTCCCTGCTAGGAATGAGTGGTGAGCCGACCGCCACCTACGATGTGGGCACAGAGACATCGGGTTGGCCTCTGGTCACCCCCATGGCTTCTGGAGACCGAACTGACACCAGCGGAGACCTGTCTGGTCACACCTCAGGGCTGGATGTTGTCATCGGCACCAGCATCCCAGACTTTGAATGGACCCAGCAAACCCAGCGCCCTGCAGAGGCACATCTAGAAATGGAGTCCTCAACCCCCTTGCACTTGGGAGGAGAGACCCAGACAGCCGAAACAGCCATCTTCCCAACGGACGCTTCCATCCCAGCTTCTCCAGAAGGGACAGAAGACACGGAGGCCACCACTGCAGGTATTGTCGGCATCTCCTTCCTTGAAATGTGTTTGGGTAGTTCAGACGGTAGCAGAGGAGGAGGCCGTGTAAATTCAAGGTTCTGAGCACAGCCCCGCCACAGATCAGCTGTGCCGCCTCAGGCAAGTTTCTTAACCTCTCTGATCTTCATCTGTGACATGGAAATAGTACCAGGGAAGATTGAACCGTAAATAAATGTGTCAAGCCCTGAGCATCATACTTGGCACGTAGTCCACCCTCAGAAAGAGTAGTGATTGTTACCATTCGAGTGAAGTTACATCATGAGAACGTGTATGTGTGAACTCAGTGATTTGTCCTTGGCACAGGGAGAGAGAAGGGTGACTATGTACATAGCGCGAGAAATTGTCCTGCCCCCTTCCCATGGAGTGAGTGTGAGATGAGAGAATGATCCTCCTGGTGACCTTTAGGCCCAAATATTTACTTTGTGCAGGGTTCAAACTAGCACTGTTGAGGGAACGATGAAGTGCTATTTTGGCCGAGTCCTGACTTTAGCCCTGTGTCCCCACCCCCACCCTGGTATAAGTGACTCCTGTACTGTAGCGATTGTCCCACCTCAACAGCATCCCAGCACCGGGCACCAGGAGCTGATCCTTTCCCACATTTTGTTTGGGGAGCCCTTGCACATTGCTGTGTGCTTTCCCAGGCAGAGCCCAGCCTCCAGATGCTAGGGCCAGGTGTCCAGGAGGGACCCCAGAAACATGCTGACCCCAAGTCAGCCTCATGAGCTTGGGGGACCTCGTGCCCCAACCTCGAGGTCTTGGAGCTGTGCTGCACCCCGGCGGCTGGCTTCTTGATGCTCAGCCTCTCCCTGGGGTTGCAGCCTCCCCCAGGTCCTGTGCCGAGAATCCCTGTGGGCCTGGGACCTGCCAGGAGACAGAGGGACACGTCATATGCCTGTGCCCCCCTGGCCACACTGGCGAGCAGTGCGACATAGGTAAGACCCTCATCGGGCTGGGGAATGCAGACAGGGGAGGGAGGGGTGTTCTTCATCCCCAGAAGGGGCTGCAGGTGGGAGGAGGCGACCAAGGTCACCTGAGGTTCAGGCTTCTCAAACTGGGAAGGAGAGGTGCATAGTGATGAGCAGGGGGAGAAGCCACAAGAAAAACAGGGCACACTTTTCTAGAGCACCTGTTCTATATGGCGGCTTAAGAGAAAAAAATCGTGCTAAGTCATTGCACTGGAAGTAGTTAGTCGTGAGTCAAGCCTGTGGTTGTGTGAGGAGCGGAATGCAAAAATGTGCTTGAATTTTGAAGATAAAACTTGAGACTTCAAAGAAATGTTGAATGAGGGTGTGTATTGGGTATAGCTGGTCACGCCCCACAGTCCCTGGTGGCGACACTCAGAAGGGCCGTTGTGCATCGTGGAGAGAAAACCTCTCCAGGAAAGTCCCCAAATCTGGGTAAGGTCTGGGTCCCCTTCTTGCCCTGAAAAACTGTGCTTGTCACTGAGCTCCAGCCGTAGGTCAGGTGTGACCCCGTGGTGTCCTGCCCCTGAGCACACGTCACCCTGGGGCCTTGGCTTGTCCTTAGCCATGAGTCAAGTAGCTGTGGGACAGGTGAGGGTGCTGGGGGATTCTGATTGGACGTGGCTCCCCAAAAGAGATGACTGGAATCTACCTGTTGTTCCCTGAACACTTTGATGAGGGCGTTCCATCCTATCAACATCACCATCCTTGAGGGAAGAAACGCCCAGTTACCCCCAAGTTCATATTTCTGGGGTAGCTCTGCAGTACTCCACGCCTTCACCCCAGCCTGTCCAAAGTCAGGAATCAGAGTCCAGGGTCTTTCATAAAAGATAAGACCCTCATTCTTATCTTTTAAGTCCTACAAGGTAAAGGGTACCAGGCAGCTACCCTTGACATCAACACAAAGAAGTGTGTGTTTATATACATCTGTAGCTACTACTATCTATGCAGATTTACACCTCGTGCCGTATACACCATGCGATGTGAATAGGCTGCACACCTGGCATGCATACAGGAGGTATATATGTGTGGATAGATGTGCAAGCACCAGGTGGGCCCTAGTCACTCCCTCCCCAACTGGGGTCAGGCCCTGCCCATGTGTGGGGCCCTGACTGAGGACACTGTGGGCCCCCGAGGACAGAGAGGGTGGACTATCCTAGGAAGGTTTGACCTTAGCACCAAGGGGACAGTATTTCCATGAGCACAGTGACCCCAGGGACTGTAGCTGTACTCCTCCATCATGGACCCCCATGGGAGGGTGGAGCTGTGCCTCCATCCTGGGAGGGGCGCCCTTGAAGAGCACTCGGGGAGACCCTGTGGGTGCTTTCAGCCAACCAAGAGAGAGTCCTCAGTCTGCCATGGGCGTGGCTGTCTGTCCCGTGAGCAGCACCCCTGGTGGACAGTGCAGGACTGCACACCCTTCCTCCTGAGCGTGCGAGTGGAGAGCCCCCGGGCACCTGTCTCAGATGGAGTGTTATGGTGCTCAGCTCAATGGGCCAGCTCAGCCTGGGTCAGTGAGGAACCGACCCAGAGCCCAACAGGACCAGAACCCCCTTGCCCTCTCAGTATTTTCTGACACCCCTCCTTTTTTTTTTTTTTTTTTGCATTTATCTTGAAATAGAGCAGGAGGGAGAGGCGGAGGAAGAGAGAGAGAGAAACATTGATGTGAGAGAGACACATCTAGTGGTCGCCACCCACACAACCCCAACCGGGGCTGGGGACAAACTGCAATCGAGGTGCATGCCCTTAGCGAGAACCGAACCCCGGCCTCTCTGGTCCATGGCTGATGCTCTAACCATTGAGCCAAACCAGCCAGGGCTTCCCCTCCATTCTAAACAGCCCCTTCCCCAACCTGATACTTGAAGCAAACTTGTGACAAGAGTCACAGCTTGTATCCTGGAACCCCTGAAATTAGAAACAGGTGACAGTGGACCCTAGCTAATCGAGTGCAAAGACAGCCTTTCTCTAATTATCCATTTTTAAAAGGCTTTGTTTCCCACAGTCTCTGCCCAGGCAGCTCTGTGAGTAGCTTGGTCACCGCCTGTACAACGGCACAGTGACTGACGTTCCTGCCATGAGGCTCTTAGGGGGATAATGTGTGTGTGAGACGTAGCATCTGGCTCAGGGAAGATTTGTGAGAGATACTGGGCCCCTCTCTTTCCTCTCTTCCTTCTGCCCATTGCCCAAAGCCCTCCCCATTCTCCACGTGCCACCACCTTGTCTGGGGTCCCCTCTCTGCACTCCCTCACGGCAGAACCCAACCCAACTCCTCTCGTGGTTCCAGAAAACAAGCAATGTCCTAACTGCCGTTCACAGAAAGAGGCAGCAATGCAGGGCCAGTAAGAAAGCCCCGCCCGGGACCCTCAGCCCTCTTCCTACTGCTAGAGATGCTGGCTCTCGGCCTCCCTCAACTGCCCCTGGGGCACCCACAGGCGGTCTGGTCTTTAGGATTGTGGCCCTTCTTTCCCTCGTCTGTGAATCCAGGGCCTGCACCAAATCGCTTCTGAGCCCAGGAACTGGCTCCTTGCATTTCAGTCTCCGCCACCTTCTCAGATTTTGTGTCCTGGCCAAACACAGAAGGAAAAACAACACGGCTTCCTGGACCTCAGGCCACCTGGGGGTGGGTGATGTGAAATAAGCCACTGGGACACCTGCAAGCCACCTGGCCTGGCCTCCCTCGGGGCCTCTGCCTTTCCTGCCCTCTCTTCCACGGGCTGGCCAGAGGCCCAGGGTTGACGTCTGGCCCTTCTCCCCACAGGCCACTCCTGTCCCCCGCTCTGTACGACTGCTTCAGCGCCTCCGTTTGCTTAATCTCCCCCTGCCCAGTGCTTCCCACCTCCCGTAATGATGCTAATGGACAAAAGAGAACAGTCGCTTTCCCGACGCAGGAGGGCCGCCCCCAGCTTCCGCCCGGCCCACCAGCCTGACCTATTGCTGCTACTGCTGCTGCTGGGAACCCAAGTGCATGCTGGGATTTCAGTCGGTTCCCCATGCATTTTGGTTTTGCTTGAAACAGCTCCAGACTTGGAACTGTTAGGTTCCTAGTCCGTGGTGTGCACTCCTCGAGATGAAGAAAGAGATGCCTGAGGGACTTGAGATTTTTCAGGCTACGCGTTGCATAGACCCAACTCTGGTCTAGACGACGTCTACTGGGCACTGGTGAAAAGGATCCAGAAGAAAGTGCCTTTGCCTTCTAATCAGAGGACTGGCTTTATGGCGTAGTCTGCCCTTGTGAGAGGCAAGAACTAAGTCCTGGAACAGTTACTGCTCACGTAGAGACCACCCCTAGACGCCGCGTCCGGAAGGTTGTATGAACACACATATACCAAGGCTAAGCCACCTACCGGGATGTCCCATGAACCAATGGAACCCATTCATTGCAGACTTTTATTGATCTCCTGGGAAGAAGAGCTTCACAATAACTTCTCTCGTGTTCCCAGGGAAGTAGCCCAGAAAAAATCCAGCAGGAGCCTTTGGAGTACAAAGACAAAGGTCTCTGGCTTCTCAGAAAGATGCAGAAAGAGCAGATTAGGAGGTTCAGTTCTTACCTTGGCCAATGGAGGAAGATTTGAGGCCAAGGCCAGTGACTTACCAATTCAAGTCCTGCAAAGAAGTTGGATCAGAAATAACATGTTGGACCAGAAAAACAGGAAGGGAGAGAATTGCCTGGGATGAAGGGGCTGGTGGGGACCTGCCTGTGTCCCACACTGGTGGTGTTGGGCGGCCACTACTAAGTATCTCACCGGCTTCAAACACTGGTCTCCCATTGGCCAGGATGGAGCCCCTCTAGAAGTTTTGATTCACTGGAGTTGTCCACGTTCGGGGCCCTTAACCTCAAAGGAGATTGCATGGGGAAAATGAGCTGGGTTTCTATCGCTCCCCCCAAGAGAACAATGCCAGCTCCGTCTTCACAAGATAGTCTAGAATCTTATTTACTAAAGACAAGAACGTTCTCTGCAACCCAAATATGTCCATGAGTCCCATGCAAATGTCCCACACTGCCTGCCGTTGTCTGACGGTTCTGTACTCTGCAGACCACGTATTCAGTCTAGGAAAAGAAGGAGCTCTAGCCAAGCTTCAAGAACGTGACTTCCAGTGTCCTTGCTCATCGCCATGTTGAGCCAGGCCAGACCCCCATGGCTTCTCGAAATAGTCTCAAGAGAAGGCATCTTGGAGGAATTCTGTGCACACTCTCCCCAGTAGGCATTCGGCTTTGGAAGCACCAAATCTCTTCACCCAATGGGAAACCGGGCTCCCCCTCTCAGCTTGCCAATCAGGAACCACGCACATTGCTGGATCTTTGCTGGATCTTTGGCTCAGCTCCAAGACGGCGGCAGCAGCAGCAGCAGCAGCAGCAACAGTTCTTAGGAAGCCCAGCCACCCCTTCCCAGGGCTCTGGAGAGCCGCAGGGCTGGCCACCCAAAAAGAGGCTACAGTGCTTGCAAAGCTGGAGTCGCCGGTGGGCGTCCTAATGGTGGCCCTTGGTTTCTTGCAGACATTGATGAGTGCCTCTCAAGCCCTTGTCTGAATGGAGCCACCTGCGTGGACGCCATCGACTCTTTCACATGCTTATGCCTTCCCAGCTACCGAGGGGACCTGTGTGAGATCGGTACGGCCGTCTCGGCTTCAGCTAATGTCACTAACTGCTGCACCCCTCTTCCTCCCTCACCCTCCCCTTCTAACCACAGGCTCTAGGCTCTGGCTGGGGCCCCCCCGGCCCATCCAGACAGCTAATCAGGAAGCACAGTGAGAAGTCTGCCCCATTCATTCCTGCTCCTTCTCTTGCTGTTCCCCCCAAAACCCCACCTCTGGGGCATTGGCTGATCTGACCACAGGAGAGTCGTGCAGGCCGGGCTCTGAGGGACCTTTAAAAACGCTAACCTTCTCCAGGGCTTCCAGATGCCACCATCAAGCCTGGTGCACGCATCAGACTAAGAGGACAGAGCTGATCCCGTGCATTTTTCTTGAAGGAAGCTCTGGGCGGGAGTCACTGGTTCTTGCTCTGGATGACAGCCACGGACCTTCCTCGCATGGTCATGGGTGTGTGTCTGCTGCTTTATTGCCCACAGGACTTTGGTGGCCTCTCCATGGCTTGGGGAGCCACTGTGCCACACTGGCCAAGCTGCCCCTTTCTTCTTCTCTGGCAAGAGCTGTGGTTTGTCTGCCTGAGCTCCCATGTCACCAGCATGTTCCAGTCATGCATGAGCAGGGACTGCTGCATGTCACCGTCTCCTCATCGCCAACATGACCACTGCCATGTCACTGCCACTCTGGCCCAAACTTCCTTTCTCCCTGACCCTGTGCAAGGCAAAGGGCTGGCCCGAGAGAACGGAGCCTTGTTGCAAGGGGCGGGGGCTGAGTTTTGCCTCTTGGGTTTTGCCAACCCCTCTGCTTCTGCACCTGGCCCAGGCTCTGCCAAGGGGAGCTATGTGCCAGGCTGAGCCCCCAGCCCCCTTACCAGGAGCCCCATGCTCCTGGATCTCAGGGCCATTCCAACTCAGAGTGGGGGAGGTGAGAATTATGATTGCTCGTAGCAACGGCCCACGTAGAACTGGAAGAGTGCAGGGGCTTAAAACCATTTTTAATTAACACTCGGAAACTTCCAGAAAGCAGCTGACACTCCTGGGAAGTCTCCCTTTGGTCCTAAGCAGTGTGGGAGGCAGCTCTGGGTTGCATGGTCCTTGGAGGCCTGGCCAAGGTCACAGACTGCGGAGAAAAGGCGTCTGCGGGAAAAGGCCTGATCCTGGAGCCTCTCATCCTCATTTCCACCCCATGGCCCTCAAAAATCGGTGCATGGGGTCCTGGCTGGGGTGGGAGAAGAGAGTTATAAGGAATGTCTCCCCGGGATGCTAACATATTTGTCATCGGGGAGAAGGGTCTGGGAGGTCCATGCAGACGACAGCTCTCGGGCACCAGGCTGGGAGAGGAGGTGTCCTGGGAGTGGAGGCGGGGTGCTCACGGGGCTCTGCATTGCATGGAGCAGAGAGAAGGTGCCAGGGCTGCCCAACTGGGCCCTGGGCCTGGGCGCCCGGCTCAGCAGGCTGCAATCTGTGCTCTCATTCCAATCCTGAGCCCCCACCACCCTGCAGGTCCTCGTGCCTTGGCTCTGGCCCTCCTGCGTCTCCCAGCCTCCCTGGGGTGCTGTTTCCTCCAGGGCCTCCACCCCGCACGGCTCTGCCCCTCCCAGAGCAGCTGTGCCACCCAGCTCGGCCTGCCCAGCTCAGCCCTCAGACACTGAGGTGGCCCCAGAATGGACCCCACAGCCAGCCCTGGGATGATGTGGGGGCTGCCTCACGCCAGGCCTCTGGCCTTCTTTCCAAACCTTTGCCCCAGGAGGCATCGCCCCCGGGGGAACAGTGGCATCCTCCTCCGCCCTCCTGCAGCTCTGCCTCTTTCTCAGCCTGCTGGCCCCTGCTCTCCACTCTTCCCACCAGCCAAGCCTGCACCCCTTCAGCCTAAACCTCCCCCTGCAAACCGGTGCTTCCTTCCTGGGACAGCCAGACTCTCCCGGAGGCTGCCATCCAGCCTGAGGGTTCATGGCCCTCGACTGAGCCCAGGGCCCTGGGGGCACCCCTCACCTGGGAGGCCCAGGGGAAGAGGGAAGAGGGAGTCTTGGAATTCCGTCTGTCCTGTGCTATGCTGGCAAACCTTTCCCGGAGAGGAAGGGGCAGCCCTCACCTGTAGCACCCCCCAACCTCGTTCCTGAGGGATAACCCTCCTGCAAAGGCCCGTTTAAAGCTACCATTGTGATGTCATGGAAGGCAGAGTTGGAAAGACACACACACAATGGCTCTCCCACGCCTGAAAAAGCCCCATGGGTCTGCCTGGCCCCGAGCCGCCCTGAGAGCCGCACTCCAGCCCCGTGTCCAGAACCCAGAACGCGTTACCCAGAGAGCTTCGGGAGGACGGCGGCTCTTCCCCGCTCCTCACCTGCCACCCAGAGAGAAAACAAAAGGCCAGGACCCCGGGTTGGCTGCCTCGCCCTTCCCCTTCCAGAGGCAGCCCAGGGGGCTGAGCTGGAGCCGGCTCTGACCTGCAGCTCTGCGTCCTCTTCGGACTCAAAGCGGACTTGTTTCTGCTCCTGTGTCCCCATCCCAGGTCCCGTTTTGGGCCCCAGCTCTGCCTGCTGCTGCTGCTGCTGCCTTCACACGCCTCCCAGCAATTCCCTGGAGACTCTCAGAGCCTCTGAACCAGGTTTTTTGCCTTAAAGCTCCACAGTTCCCACCTTCCCACCTCTTTCGGCGGAACTCTGCCAGCCCAGCAGCGCAGGCATCAACGGGAGAGACGCTTCGGTGGGGAGGGGACGACATCCAGGCATTTCCCCGAGAGTGGGAACACCCCCAGAGGCTCCAGGGGCCAGGGCCGGGCCTCCCTGGCTTCCTCCTTGAGCCTCCATCCGCTGGGCCTCTCCCCTCCTTTGAGGGCGACACTGGAGGCGGGGTGGATGCAGGGACCTGTGTCGTGAGACGGGCAGGCTCGGCCCCTCCCTTCAAGCCCCTGCCCTGTGTTGCAGACCAGGAGCTGTGTGAGGAGGGCTGGACCAAGTTCCAGGGCCACTGTTACCGCCACTTTCCCGACCGCGAGAGCTGGGTGGACGCTGAGAGCCGGTGTCGGAAGCAGCAGTCACACCTGAGCAGCATCGTCACCCCCGAGGAGCAGGAATTTGTCAACAGTGAGTATGGCGGGGAGAGTGGTCAACAGACTGGGGCCCAGCGAGGCTGCAGGAGGATTGGGGGGGGGGGGTTCCACAGCCCAAGTTCCCTGGGAGAAGAGGAGAGAAGTCTGTGGGGCCAGTGGCTTCCACCGCACCCAGGACAGCCCACTGTCCGAGCCAGCCCCTGAGTAACCCTGTGGCTATCACAAGCCCACGCCAGCTCGGGGAGGTAGTCCGATGGCACTCCAACCATGCGTGGGCTGAGATCCTAGTCAGGACCTCAGAGACAGGTGGCACGCCCCTCGGAGCCCGCCCACGTCCCGCCATCCCTCCATCCCCCCTGCCTCTATGAGCAGTTTCTCAGACACCCCAGGGTGCTCAGCGCCACCCTAACACCTTGCCCTCACTCCAGACAACGCCCAGAACTACCAGTGGATCGGCCTGAACGACAGGACCATCGAAGGGGACTTCCGCTGGTCAGATGGACACTCCTTGGTGAGTTCTGCCAGGGGCCCCGGGCAGAGTTGGCCGCCCCGAGGGGGAGATAAGGACCCCCAGAGAGAGATGCATGCAAACCACATGCAGACAGCCCTGAGCAGCTGCGGCACGGGGCACACAGATACTGTCTCGTTGTTCATCTCTGCCTGTGGACACCAGCCCAGGGCTGGCCGAGCTGAGGGCATGACCCGGTGAAGGAAGGAGGGCATGAGGAAGGCAGGGAGTGAATGAAGGCAAACCACGAGAGACTATGGAAGCTTTAGAGGACTTCCTTGCCCACAGAGGACTCGAGTCTATTCAAGGACACACACAGACAGACAGCAACATGGAAGCCAAATGAATAGGGTGACAGGGGAGGGGACTCTGTCCCGGAGCCAGGATAGAGGGAGAAGCCTGGGGGCAGAGTAGACACCGGAGCCATGCCTCTGCCACTCCAGTCCTCTAGAGGGCATCCTCGTGACGCCCAGGATCATCCTGACCAGACTCCCAGCATCCTTTGTACTGCTGCCAGAAGACAAAGGAGCCACGGGTGGGGCTTGACAGGGGAGAAATTGGGGGTCAGGCCAAGCCACATGGCTCCGGCCCCCTCCTCACCTCACCCCCACGCCCCCACAGCAATTCGAGAACTGGCGCCCCAACCAGCCCGACAACTTCTTTGCCTCCGGAGAGGACTGCGTGGTGATGATCTGGCACGAGAAGGGCGAGTGGAATGATGTGCCCTGCAATTACCACCTGCCCTTCACGTGTAAAAAGGGCACAGGTAAACCCGGCCTGGGAGGGGCCCAGGGGGAGGAGCCAAGACTGAGGTTCCTACTGTGTGAGTCGCCTGGTCTCCTGGCTGCTGGTGTCAACTCATCGCCACCGAGCAGACCGGAAGTGGCTTGGGGAGCCCTCCCAGAAGCAGCATCCCAGGGCCCAGGGCAAGGGCAAGTCCGCTCCTAGGTGCCATTTAGGTCCCCTTTCCCCAGCACCAAGATGTTTTCATCAATAAGTCACAGATGGTCTTCCCGGCTCTCATCCTCTTTCTCTACCTTTCTCCTTCCCTTTGACTTGTCCTCATCCCCTTAAGACTCTCCTTTTATTCCCTTCCTGCTGCTCTAAGTCATGGGGGAGCCAGATGGTTTCCAGATTCTGAGCGCTGCGTGAAAACGCCCCTTAGCCGGCAGCTGGGGCGCGCGGCTGGGTGTCCGGGCTCCATGCCCGTCACGGTGCCTTGAGTTCCAGGCTGTTGCATCACAGCCAGAGGGGACCACCCTGGCTCGTCCTGGGCATGGGTCCTCACGAGGCCCCCCGAGGTCCCTCTCTGAAGGGTGTTTGCCCCTCAGTGGCCTGCGGAGACCCGCCCGTGGTGGAGCATGCCAGGACGTTTGGCCAGAAGAGGGACCGGTATGAGATCAATTCCCTGGTGCGGTACCAGTGCACTGAGGGCTTTGTCCAGCGCCACGTGCCCACCATCCGGTGCCTGCCCAGCGGGCACTGGGAGGAGCCTCGGATCACCTGCACAGACCGTGAGCATCCTCCCTCCTACCCCTCGCTTACAGCCCACCCAGATGTCCCCTTCCCTGTCCCCCGAGCATGAAAGTGCTGGCCCTCTCCCGGGGATCCTGAATGTGGACAGAGTCGTCTGTCACTGCCCCTGCTCCCAGGGACAAAGGAGAAAGCAGGCAGCCTGTTTTCCTTTTCAACACCAGCCCCAAGACCCTTAGCCCACGTTGGTTCGGAAGAAATCAGGAGACAGAAAAACCTCAGGCTGCCTTCAGTAGCCGCGGTTCCCGCAGCGAGGGCGGCCAGCGGACAAAAGGCAGACAGGGAGAGCCTAGGCTGGCCCGCTTGTTCCCGGGGTTCACCAAGAGTGTCCCCTCTCCCTTCACCCAGCCGCCACCTACAAGCGCAGACTACAGAAGCGGAACTCGAGGCCCCCCAGGAGGAGCCGCCCCAGCACCGCCCACTGAGGGGAGCTCCTAGGACGAGCCCAGGATGCTGAGCCCAGGAGTCTCGCCAGGTTGACGTCCCATCAGATGGTGTCCTCTTCTTGTCGCTTTCTGTCATATAAGGAATTCCATTAAAGACGAAAAAAACTAAATCCCACCTATTGTATGCACCCACCGACCCCCACCCCGAATGGCCAAAAATGCATCTGACTTTCCCCCCAAATGCCAAAGCAAAGCAAACGTATTGTAACCCGTGGACTGAGTTTAGATACATGTCTTCACTCTCTCGTTGTGCCTTTCCAGGGACCAGTGCAGGGACAGGGGGAGCAGGGAGGGGTTAAGTTAAATAAAGAAGATTATTTTTTGTTTGCTGACTTTATCCAAGAGCAGTGCAATCGTTGGTTCTTTGACCTCCACGGAGAGCTAGGGAGGAGGGAGGAGGGGCAGGGGAAGCTGGAAGGGGCAGAGGCCCAGGGTATGAAGAACTGGGGACCACAGCTGAATGTAGGGGATGAGGGCTGCACCATCCGTGTGGGGGGAAGCCTGGGGTGAGCCCACAGGAGGGAACCACCAAGGAGTCTTCTGCAGCGTGGGGGTCGGGTTCCCTCCAGGGGTCTCCCTCCCAGCATCCTCTCTCCCGGTCTGCCACCCTAACAGGTGTCATCTCTCTCGGCAGGGCTGAGTGGGGGGCACTTCCTTCCCTGTGGAAGTGCCCCCCCACCCCTCTCCCCACCCTCCCCCACCCCCGGGACCGTGCGGGCACCAGGGTCCCGTGCACCTATTTATATTTTTGAAAATTGAAGATTATGATAATTATAATAATAAAGACATTGGAAGAGATCTATTTCTTTTCCCTTCTTCTTCTTCTTTTTTTTTTTTTTTTGTAATTTAAGGAGAAGGCAACTATGGTCTAGGTTCTAGAACAGGGGCCCTTAGGAAGGGTGGCCATGGGGACATGTTTTGATCAAATAACCCCAAACTGGTGTGAATCCTATGGGTTCAGAGAGCCTGGGACAGTCATACCCACTGTGCTTTAATTTTACAAGGGTATAGCAGGGTTTGATGGAGTGTGTGTGTGCGTGTGTGTGTGTGTGTGTGTCAGTTGCACAGTTGGCCCTTTGACGTCACACTTCGCTCCCATGGGGGAGTCATTGGCAGAATGCAGTGCGGAGCAGGACAGAGGACGGCTGCGGGGGAGGCAGGGACACAGCATCATTGATTGTCCCAAAAAAGCACACACCCCAAATTGGGGGAAAGAGCAAATCACAGACTTTGAACGGAGAGAGGGGAAGAATGGGAGGGGCGTGCCTCCCTCCCCTGGGACCTCACACAGAAGCCTGGGGCGCGAGTCCAGCCCTAGCTCCTCGGAGGGGCAGGAGACTGCAAGGCCCAAAGCCCAGCTCAGCGCCCCTGAATGTCCTCTCCCTCCTCCAGGCTGGGGCAGAGGGAGAGCTGCAGCCACCATGCCCTGATCCCGGGCTCACTGCTCCCTCTGCACATCAGAGTCCTCATGAGCCCACGAACCTCAAATGTCCCAGAAGAGAGAGGTAGGAGGAACCCCGGTTGAGGGAACCTTGGGATGTTCACCTGAGCAAAGGGAGGATTTGAGATCTGTTGGATTTACAAAAATAGTCTTTTTTTTTTTTTTTAATTTGAGTTGAGAAGTATCAAAACAATAGGAAAATAGCCCCAACCGGTTGGGAAAATGAACCACTCAATAAATACAGCCTGTGAGGGGAGGGGCAGGCAGGCACAGCGCTGGGGCCGGCTCTAGCGAGGATGGAAGCAGTAGACACCGTACTTGCGGCTCCGAGGGTCTGGGAAGCCGAAGCTCCGGACGCCAGGCGTTAAGGGCCCGCAGTTGGGACGTGGGTGAGCCACGGGGTAGCGGGCACTGCCATCAGCCAGCCAGCCAGCATCGCAGCGGTCCAGGCCGTGGAACTTCCAGGCGGCAAAGAGCTGGCCCACCTTGGCCACCTGGGCGCCGTCCTCCCGGCAGGCCTCCTTCGCCTCCAAGAGCGTCAGCTTCTCGGGGTGCTCCAGGTAGTACACCCGCCCTGGGGGGAAGTGGGATGTGAGGGCTGGGCAGGGGAGGGGACAGCTGGAGAAGACAGCCGGGCCTGCAGCAGTGTTTCCTGTCCAGATGTCACCAGCCAGACCCCACAGATCTGTCGGCTGTCTGAGCCCAGGGAGCCACCATACAGTGGGCATCTGCTTAGACAATTTGGGGAGCACTTTCCAGGTCCTCACTCTCTCTCTGAGAGCTTCACTCCACCTGCCATGGGGCTGGGGTCCCTCCTGTCATAGCTGTACTCCCCCAACCCTCCCCTAACTGCACCCTGGGTGGGCACCCCATCCAGGCGGGACCAGAGTCTCTCGCTGGCTCAGTCATTTACTGAGCACCTACAATGTGACCGGCGCTTTCTAGATGCTTGGGGTACAGCACCGAACCAGTCTCTCTTTGCACTTGTCTACCTTTCCCATGAAATGAGTTGCTTTTCCGGACAGACTGTTGCCCAGTGTATCTGTGCTGCCCAGAGCCCAGCCCAGGCCCTCGCCCGTGGCAGGCACTCCGGCAACCTTTGATGAAGGAGTCCATGAATGACTGGCATGCACAGCAGCACCAAAGCCCTCAAACTCAGCCGCCCACTGTGACGCTCCAGGTGGAGGTGCCCCAGGGCAGGCGGAGGGGGCCCGAAGCTCCCCAGGTGCTCCCTGCCCCCTGCAGGCTGTGCTCAGCCACCCCACTCACCCTTGAGGGCAGCGGCGGTGAAGCAGAACACGTCATAGCGGTGCAGGTGGCGGTGGCGTGGGCCGTAGCTGCGCACCCCCGGCGCCAGGCCCAGGCCGCCGCAGGCTCCCCGGGCCAGCATGATGGGGTACTGCACCGAGGCATCCTGCAGCCAGCCCGCGTTACACCAGTCCAGGCCCTCCTCCCAAGCCCGGAACAGCTGCTCGAAGGAGGCCACCACGGCGTCCTGGCCCTCACAGGCCTGCTGGGCCTCGTGGAAGTTGAGCTGGTAGCGCCCCTGGGGGGGCTGGTAGGGAAATACCACACCTGGGGGGGGGGAAGAGAGCTTGGAGGGGTGTGCAAAGGCCCAGCTGACTAGAGACCTCAGTCCCATGCCCCCACCTCCTCAGGGGCAGATATTCCCCCAACACACACACATGCGTAAACCTGTCACCTCCTGCCCACTGTCTAAGTCCAAACATAGACCATACGACACCTCCCTTCTAGAAACAGGCTGGCGAACAGCACACCCAGCAAACATCTACTGGTGTGTGGAGGTAACGAATCCATCAGCCAACTCGTGTCCCCAAGTACAGGAGGCAAGTAATACCTCATTCACAGGGCTGTTGCAAGCACCCTAGCGCTGCGGTCTCAATGTGTTCCCCAAATTCCTATGTTTAAGTCCTAACCCCCAAAACTGATGCTATGAGGAGTTGGGGCCTTTGGGAGGTCTTAGGTCATGAAGGTGGAACCCCCACGTCGGGATTGGTGTTCCTATGAAAGACCTCCGAGGGCGCCCCTGCCTTTCTGCCGCGTGAGGACACAGCCAGATGTCTGTGTCCTGGCAGAGGGGCCTCACCCGACCACGCTGGCATCTGGATGTCAGACGTCCACCCTCCAGAGCTGTGAGAAACAGGCTGTGGCACCATCCAAAAGGAGGGTCTCAGCAGTGTGCCCCAGTCCCCACTACTCCCTATCACCTCGCACCAGGCGGCCTCATTCACTCGTGTTGCCTGCAACCCTGCGCTGTCTCTAATGAGCTGTGTGACCCACTCCCGCTTGCCTCTGTCAGAGTGGGGTGTGAGCGAGAGGGAGGCGAGGGTCACAGAATTGAGCCCGAATGCCTGGGCTCAAAGCCCTGCTCTGCCATTTGTGAGCTAGGGGACCTCAGGTAAGTTACCTGACCTCTCTGTGCCTGTTTTCCTCCTCTGTAAAATGGGGGTGATAATAATAGTAGCTTCCAGCCCGGCCTGTGTGGCTCAGTGTGGTTGAGCATCGACCCAGGCACCAAGAGGTCGCAGGTTCGATTCCCGGTCAGGGCACACGCCCAGGTTGTGGGCCAAATCCCCAGTACAGGGCATGCAGGAGGCAGCCAATCGATGTTCTCTCATCGATGTGTCTATCTCTCTCTCCTTCTCCCTTCCTCTCTCTCTAAAATCAATAAAGAAAAAAATAATGTTTTTTAAATAATATTAATAGTAGCTTCCACCCTGGCCGGTTTGGCTCAGCAGTTCGAGCTTCAAACCAGAGTTGCGGGTTCGATTCCGGTCAAGGGCATGTACCCTGGCTCTAGTCATGGTCGTGCGGGAGGCAACCAATTGATGTGTCCCTCTCACATTGATGTTTCTCTCTCTCACCCACTCTGTCTGAAGACAAATGGAAAAGTATCCTCAGGTGAGGATTTAGAAATAATAATAGTAGCTTTCTCATGGGGTTGTTTGGAGGATAAAATGTTTATCTGCCTAACGCACCAAGGTCTGGCTCCTTGTCGGGCCCCTCCCCCCGGCCCCCAGGTCCCGGCATCACGCGGCCCCACTCAGGGTCTCACCCCGAAGCTCCAGCTCCACCAGGCCGCTCTCATCCTCCAGCCCGTCAATGACCTCACAGCGGTAGCGCCCGTAGTCCTCCAGCCGCAGATCCCGGATCTCCAGCGACACTTCGCGCTCCTCAACCTGCCGCAGGTGCACGCGGCCCCGGTAATCTCCAAAGGAGCGGCGCCTGCGCCCGATGGCCACCAGCACGTCCTGCTCCGGGGCCCCGTTGTCCAACAGCTTCCACCATTTGATGCGCACGGGCCTTTGGGGGACCAGGTCCGGCTCGTAGTGGTACCAGCAGGGCAGGGTCACATTGGCCCCTTGGTGGGAAAACAGGGTGTCTTCGGGCGTCTCCACCACCAGCTTCACTCCATTGAAGGGGCCTGGGAAGAGGTGGGTGCAGATGGGGACCTGCTGCAGCTCAGCTGTACCCCTGCAAGGGCCACCCCACCCGCGTCCCAGCTCCTGCACGCTCG